TCATAATCCAACAACAATCGTTATTTACAAGACTTGCTCTTTGCCTATACCTGCAAAACTTGCTCTTTGCCTATACAACCTGCCTCATGATTTTACTGAGCCCGGAAGAATGAAAGAGCTGAGGACCTCTGCTCAGGACCTCTGCTCCTGGCATGATTATCTACAAGTGTCACGTGACATATTGCTGGATTGTATAGGGAGTGTAGGAGCAGCTGACTGGAATCACTAGATCTTTACCCTCATCGCAATCCATTAATGAATGCTACATAATGTTTGGTCGGCAAGTTATGGTTATTCGTTATGTTACAGGTACCTCCTCGCCTTTGATTACTGTCTTGAAATTGGCGTATACGAGAGATTTGCAGGTTTTATCGTAACATCTCGGGGATGTTACGTTTACTTGTGTCAACGCGAGGTTTGTGGTTGTTTATACTTTTATAAGCCCCCCACTTTCGAAGCGGTAATGAGCGTTGTAAATACACCCCTGGCAGCTGATCTGCTCGCTTAGGAATAGTGTGAGTAGTAGTAACTGGTCCTCCAACTAGTATACTCGGTGTTAAAGCTAGTTTATAAACATCTCAACATCTGTCTATACTTTATATGGATACACTCTGCTGCGTACCTGGTTTATAAACCCCGCAGTTTGCACGTGCACAATAAGGTTCGGTTGTTTGCTCGTGCATAACTATTATAGTTGTCAGGGGAAACCAATGGCAGAGTTAACTTTTTCAAAAGTTAATGAGATAATTGTTGTCTCTGAAATACACGTGCAATATTAAACCTTGTAGACATGGTACGGTATATGTGTCTTACTTCTAGCGCTGTTAAAGTTTAGACTGCAGCATTTCCTTATGCTCTTATATAATAGAGTAATAGGGACAGCTGCTGCTGCAGAGGCGTCTTATTTCGTTCACGTTTTGGCGGCATGTGCGTGCTATTACGATGAAATTAGGACATGTCCTAAGAGTAAACCAAGCTTTACATAATATTAGCAATTAGGCTACACGCAAAGCTCTGGTTGTACTTATATTGTGACGTTCTCTGCGTACTTCCATGTCATGTTTTTAAATAACCAAGGTTTTGTATAATCATACTTACGTGACAGTAAGTAATTCCTACTGTATACAATATACAAATTATTATACATGTTGATGTTGTAAAACTTTGAAGGCCATGCATATATTTCAGTGATGGACACGTGACCAATTAACCCAAAAAAAGAGTTTTTTCTATTTCAAGAGCTCGCAAGATTCATATGCCAAAATTAGACTTCCACTAAGTTTGCTGCACGCTAGGACCAGCTTTATACAGCTGTAATATTGTAACTATTGTACTATTGTACTATTGTAGCACTAGCAGCCCACGCATCATAGTCCCACTAATATGGATAGCAGCATATTTTGGTCTTTGCAAGGCCAAACGATTATTTATTCTGTATCGCAAAGAGTATATGCCGATGCGTTTATTGTTTGCCGATCATGATATGAATTTAAGGATTTTATTTGCATCCTATAGTCTATACCTGCATCAACTCTGAGACGCATTACTATTTATCACGTCGTGTTATTATCGTTAATCCGGCTAATATAACGTAATTTATGGCACATGTAGTGATGCAGTGCTTTTAATTAAATAAAGTGTAAATTATATAAAGAATGAAGAAATTTGCGTATAGGAACATATTGGGTAGCATAAATAATATTGGTGTGCAGTTATTAACTATACGATCGTATGAAATATGAATACGCAGTATGCAGTATGAATAATAGTGGGGTTCAGTTATTAACTATACTATCGTATGAATAGGTAGTATGAATAGTAGTGGTGTGCAGTTATTAACTATACTATCGTATGAATAGGTAGTATGAATACTGAATAGTAGTGGTGTGTAGTTATTGACTACTGAAGTATGACAGGTTCATGTATACTTGCTGACAACCATGACGTCACGACCCAATAACAGAGCCATCAGAACAGCTTGTGCAATTCACTATAATCATATAATAATATAGTGTTATTAGTATTTCCCGCAACCAGATGATCCAGTTGCTGTTGTTTGCAGCCAGCAGCTGGTTGAGTTGTAGCCACGTTGTAGCCAAGTTTGTGTGATTGATATGAAAATCGTATTTTTTAAATAATTATCTCTAATTTAGGAAAATATTGTTTGTGTAAGTTTGAATATGCTTCTTCAGAATCTTGTATTGAAATTATATATTGATTTTTAGTGAAATCTTTATAAAGTTTAATAAGATTCTCATGTCAGAAAAACACATAAATTTTAAATATTTGTATAGTCCTATTAAATATACACATAACTATAAGTTCCTTGCATAAAATCAGTTAAGTAAAATCATGTAAAATGTCAAATTATAACTTAATAAAGTTTGTTAAGACATCAAACTTTCAATTTCGCAGCAATACTTGATTTTATTTCAATCGAACCATCAAATTTGTGCGATCATTTTTAATTTAGAAATTCTAGGAAAAGTAGTTGATATCATGATACCTGGGGGTTTTTGATATATATCAGGATAGTTCACGTAATACCACTACCAGATGTTTCAGTTTCACAGTAATTTATTGCTGTCCGAATTAACTGACCTAAATCATATAATGGCCTAACGACATGACCGCGTTATTCTTTCCCAAGCTCGTAAATTGAGGTCTTTACTCATTTAATTCGTATCATATTCTCGGGATATTTAGTTTATCGCGGGGAGTTTTGCTCTGTCAGTTTTGTGATTACCCGTCACTCGATAATAGGTTTTACATTTACTGCACTATAAAGTCGATTTATTTGGTTAAACATCTGCATCAGGAGTACAGGCTGGGGTGTAGGAAGCGGGGGGGGGGGGGGGGGGCCATCGCCCCCCCCATAAAATCTGGGCAAGGGGCCAAAAAGGGCCAACTTTTTTATTTAGGTTTCAAAAAATTTTGAAATATTTTTTCGGTTTTCGAAAAGGGTCCTACCCTTCGCTATACGATTTTAGACTCGATGGTTCCCCTTTGTAATGCGATCTCGGAAGGCAGGCCTTCCTTTCGCAATACGAGCTCGGAAGCGGGAGCTCTGCATTCAGATAAAAGGTACGTATCAAGAATGACTGGGACCAGACATTTTCTAAGTCAACATTTTCAAAGTTTTTCTAGAAACTACTTTTGTTCATGTTTCATGCTACCTTGATCATTATGACTATGAGCTGAAAATATTTTGATTGGTTTCATTATATACTTATATAGAACGCGTAATAATTGGCCCGCGACCGCAGATTTGAAGGAAAATATGCGACTTTGGTCCCCAGATTTAAAGGAAAATGTGCAATTTGTCGCGAGGATCTGAGAAAATCGCAATTTGTCGCGGCAAATAAACGTGAAAATCGCAATTTGTCGCGGAGAATGGGAAAAATCGAAATACCGTACGAGCCGCAATTTCCTTTTGTCCTTGCCCAAAATTTTTTTGTAATTTAGTCTTAGGTGCGAAGCCCCCCGCCCCCCCCCCCCCCCCCCCCCCCCCCCCCCCCCATGAAGAAAATCGTTCCTACACCCCTGAGTGCAGTACTTTGAACTGCAATTGGATGATCTCCCCGATAAATCACACTTCTTGCCACAATTTTTATGTTCGGTCATTTAATCTAGAGTCAAGATCTTCCTGTCAAAATTTAAATTTAATGAGTTTGTCTATTCCAGACAAAATTAATCAACTTCCGATGAACGAAATTAGTTGATCAACGGATGAAAGTTGATTTATGCCAGCGGACTTCACAGAATCTGACTGTTAGCAAGATTCAAATGAAACTTTAACTTTGTAATGAGCTCAGTCGGCTTCCAGTTTCTTAGTTTCTTATAGAGATTAAATGAGCTGATTAAAATATACTGATCGTATAAAGAGGATCAGTTATAAACCTTCAGGCCGGGTTAACTCATTATACCGGCGTTTAGTTCTGCTACAATCAACATGGTCACAGATACCAACTTGAACTAGAACACTAACTAGTTCGACTGACCACTGTCATGATGGCCATGTGACAACTTTAGAACGAGTTGCGAGCCTATATAATTGTGCGGGACGCATTCGTATCGCAATATGAAATTTGGCAACTCGCGAATTTGTTTCAGTTAAATTGTACCCATATGTTCAATATCTTTGTTTCTTTGATCTCAACGCAATGAAAAGTTAGTGGGCTCATAAATTTGAAAATAGCATGTTATAATAAGTCGGAAAGAGTTTTTGGCTGGTACTGCTTATAGTTATAATTATATATGTGTTCAGTAATTTTGAATTTTCTAAAATTGTTGATTCGAAAAAAAAAACCCCAATTTTATGGCTAAGCCTTAATTCCATGTGGACATTCCTGTCCACTTACCACTCACCACTCACCACTCGCCACTCACCACTCACCACTCACCACCCACCACTCACCACTCACCATGGAGCTAATAATTTTACAATGAGTTGAAATTCCAAATAATGGTTGCAATGCCTAAAAAGGTCATAATTCTGAAATTTCAGAATATTTTACCAGGCTCATTCTTTAGAGGGATCAGGGTAGATCCATGACTCGGATGATAATTTGCAATTAAAATCAAACTTAACGAGTCTCGGGGC